AGGGAGCTGTCGCCCACTTATCCTTGCCTGGGATAAAAAATCTATACCTTGTATTCACGACAAGATAGAGCCGAACTAAAAACGAGAAATCCTCAGCAACACTGTCTGATAATTCAAAAACATAGTTAAGAATAAGAGATATTATCTCCATTATTATTTGTTTGCTTATATAATGGATAGAGAAAAAATGTTTAGGATTGATGAGTTTTATCAGTATCTGGTGTCAAAAATAAGGCAAGCACACCAGTACAAATATTGAAACTTGACCATTAGTATTATTTGATCTTATTGATTTGGACAACTGGGTAGGAGTTGGCTTTCGAAACAATTTTGATGTTTTTTTGCAGAAAATCTACTTTGATTTATGCATTCTGGGCAAATGAATCATTGAGGAGATCAAATGACCATTTCCAATGACAATCTTGGTATGATAGTCACTATAGCAGGGAGGGCATGAAGTATTTCACAGAAATTATTGGGTAAGACAGGCTAGTACTTCTGTTAAGAAACTCTTAGTGTGGCTCTACATAATTATCTTTATCCTTTTTCAGTATTAGCTTATAAATTGTTTAATTGTGTCACTATACATTTTAGAACATTGATATTTGGGTAATCTTCGAGAAAGCTGCAGTATATCCTTACAATTCAAACATACTTGTCAAAGTCTAAGTTCCCAAGTTGACTTCTCAGCAGGCCTTCTTCGGGCACTGCATTGCCTTCAACTTGGTTTACACAGTAAGATAGAGGTGAAAGTCTGGAGCACTGAGTGGACTAGGCTGTGAGGGTACTTTCCATGATCTTTTTCCTTGATTTGTAACATTACTGTTTATGTTTGCAGATTATTTCTATTGCCAATGACTGCAAGTTTTTCTTGTCTAGACATATATCATTGTCAGTGGTGACAAGAGCTCCATTGAAAATTATCTTTTTATTTAATTTTGGCTAATAATAAATCACAAAATGTCTTTTTCTGTGACCACTCAAAGTGTGTTGCATTAATCTAATTTTTTTTAAAAAGATTTTTGTACATAATACAAATGACAAATATTTTTCATAACAAAAAAAACATATAATATATATATTTTTACTGTAGTTTTCAAAACAAACATTTCAATTTTCTTTCTGATTAATTGATAGATTATAAGATATTTATTAATGTTGATGATAAAACCATCCCTCCTAATTCAATTTCCAAAATTTTTCTACCATTTTATGGTCCAAAAATATAAATAGATAAAATTAATTAATTTTGTACTGATTTCACTTTTTTTCCCTTTCTGTAACTGGTTCATATGTAAAGAGTTACATTTTTCCATATAAGGGAAAAAATATCCTTTTATGGTAGCATTAATTTTGTGTTCCTTTTTTTCCAAAAGATGACAGAATATGTGATAAGATAGATTACTCTTAAAATTTAAAATCAAACTGCGCAGGTAACTATTTTTAGGTATATAAAACTATACTGATACAATCCTGAATTTTATCCTGTTATCTTGTTGCAGAAAACTCGTGCCCGTGGTATACATGGAGGCAAGACACATGGAGCAGGAAGCAAGGGTTCAGGGCAGAGGCAAAATTTCATGAGGCTTGGTTATGAGACAGGGAACAATCCCTTCTATCTCCGATTTCCATGTCAGAACTACTATAAGGGGCATCAGTAAGTATCATATCATAGGGATTTCAGCTTTAAGGATTTCAATGTTTCAGTAGAAAATTATTTCAAACAAATAATTAAAGATTCATCAAATCATTTTGCAAAGCCTTGTAGTATTTAAGTGTCCTTGTTATAAAAGTATTTTCTCATCCTTCCTTAGTCTTCTTTCTGGCAAGTAATGTATAGATAAAGAGACTCCTTATTTTAAAAAGCAGGTAGTTCTTTTGATTCTGATATTTCCACTGAAGCTGAAAAAAAGAAGTTAATCCTTTACAATATGGACATACTAAGTCCCCATCTATCATGCCACCAAATTTATTCAACAATCTATTTGTCATGACTGGGCATGTCTGCCTGAGGGGAGGGTTGATAGGTGAGCTTTGTCTCCCAGTACTACATGACAAAAACTGGCTTCACCTTGGTATGCACAGCAAGATATTATTTCTTGTACTAATGACACCAACTTTTTGCCTTTACAATAATATCATCTTCAGTTTGCCATAGCTCAGTGCATCCATATCATAAAGATTAACCAAAAAGAATAGATAAAATAAAGAGGTGTCATAAACAATGTATGTTAAGCACACAAGTTTTCCAAAATTACCTTTTTTTTTTCAGTCTGAAATTGTCATATATACCATTATGTATGGGAAGGCTGCAGATGCTTGTGGATACAAACCGTTTGAGAACAGACATCCCAGTTGATCTGACTCAGCTGGTTGCTACAGGTTTGTTCTCTGTTCATCCAGAAGAGAAAGAGGGAGGAATTATGCTAGAAGATGATGTAAGTCTGTGTTGCCATTTCTAAATATGTTATTTTTATTTTTTTGGGGGGTTGCAGAAAAAAAGAAAGTCTTGTGCTAAGATAATTCTCATTATTAAGGGAGAGTCTGATGATGTATTATCCTTAAATATGTTGAATTTAGGTGAATTCACTTTTGAATTTTTCAAAGACAAAATATTTGTTTATATATCTGAAGAAAAAAAATGATTTTATTCTTGCAGGGCATGGATCACTTCAAGACCAGAATGAACATTGAGGTGCAGTGGGCAACCGAAGCAGTTATTGCAGCAATTGAGCGTAATGGAGGAACCATCACCACGGCATATTATGACCCTGTTGCTCTCGGTGCTGTGTGTAATCCTATGGCCTTGTTTAAAAGAGGTGTGTTAACAGTTTCCAGGAAAACTTATGAAAAAGGAACAGTATGTTTGTTTTTTGTAATGAAAAATAAAATTGAAGTGCATATATAAATGATAGCACAAAATTAGAAAAAGGGCTCATATTCTAATGATCACGCTTCTTTGATGAAACATTCCGAGATCTTGATGATACAATGCCTACTTCTGCTTTGTTTTATATAGAGAATTTTATCATTACATGCTTAGTGGATAGTCTGGCTCGCTCAAAACAGCAATGTCACGACTACCAGATGTATATGAACTACAAATGAGTTGACATGCACCATCATTATTTATATTTACCCTAAAAATATATTTATGCAGTCTTTGGTGCATTGCTACATATTCATTTGCATATGCATTTCTAATATTTCTTGAATAATGTTTTCGGTTATTTCAGATAACACCTAAATATTACAAATAATTTAATCCTGTTCATTAATATTCATTATATTAAACAAGATACCCCTTTTAGTGTAGACTTTGTTGTCCTTAAATTTCCTGGGGGAAATGATATTCAGAAAGAACACAGTCTGTGTCAAAGCATTCACTCAACATTCTTCCCTATTTTTGTATTTTCAGTTGTGGAACCATAATTTTGTCTAAGTATATTAATGTGGCATGAACTTTTATTTATGAAATCCATATTTTGTTTAAACATATGGTCTTTAGTTTTTCTTTATTACTTGTTGGTATCGAGAAAATACCGGTTGTTTGGATTTTAACTTTTATATATTTATTGATTTTGCCCTCAGGTGTTGCCATTCCCAGGCGCATGCTTCCTCCCCAACACCTCATTGACTACTACAGTGATCCAAAGAATCGAGGTTATTTGGCCGATCCAGATTTAGTGGCCAAGGAAAGATTCATCTTATCACAGGTAAAACCATTGTAGCATTTTTCATATTGTGTGGCAAATTTTTAAAAATTTATTATCTGTAAAATAATAAATAATGCAAAAACACTATAAATATGAATAATTATATTTTGAATGAAGTTTCAATTTTGTTAATTTGAAATACTTACTAGTTGTCTCCACCAGTGATCAGTAAAAGGTAGTTCTTACTAACCCATTGGATCTGGGCCATTAAGCTCACTTGAGTGGTGACTTCTAGATTTATGGCTTAGAGGCCTGGCCCACACAAACACTCATGTGCAGTGTTAAGACTCTTTGCCTTTTTTTTTTTTTTTTGCTTTTGCTTTTGCCATTTTCCAAGTTCTATGTTGGTCATTTGATATGCTGTATCAGGATAGCAATAGACTGTTTTCCTTGTACAGATTCCATATCATCTCTCCAGGTAGTCTATAACTCTATGCAATAAGAATAAAAGTAAGCAATATTTGTTATATGTAATTTTTTTATATTTTCATAATATTCAATTTTTTGTAATACACCCTTTGCTGATGGTCTTGGCTGGCAGATATAGGATCCTGAGCATGGGAACAGTGTCCTTAGAGCAGGCACTCTTCCAGTCGTGGCTCACGAGTGGTACAGTCCACACAGTTTACCGATGGAAATAACGTAAGATCCCCTTCCTAAATGCCCGCTGAGTCTTATCACCCTCCAAGAGCTTTGTGTACTTGTGGCAAGTCATTTCGGTCACCCTAACCTTTGGCCAAATTTTTTTCATGATGTGATGGTCGTGTCACCCAGATCCAATGGGTTAAGATGGATGTAGAGCAACTGCTTTTGTTTATCTTACATCTTCAATTTCATTTTTTTCCTATCCCTTTTTTTTCAGAAATATGGGTATGAGCTTCCTGATATCAATTCATCTCCAGATAAGGATATGCTTCTGGAAAGAAAGGATCCACGTCAGATATTTTATGGTCTTGAACCAGGGTGGGTTGTTAACATGAAAGATAAGGAAATTATTAAGCCTACTGACCCTGTTCTCAAGGAGTTCTATGCATCATAATGAAATGAAAAGAAGGTAGAATTATGTCCATAGTTCTGTGAATCTGTATTATATAGTTGGCTGGTACTAATAAACTTCAAGCCTGATCATTCTGTCTATGTTGAACAATACTTATATGATAATGTAAATATTTTGTTTATATATTTGCTGTGTCAGCAGTGGAAATAAAAAAATACATTCACATGATTTTTTTTAATCATCCCATACTTGTGAAACTTGCAATGTTACTAAGGTTTAAATTGTCC